ATGCCCCTTACGTCTTGCCATTACTACAGTCTTGCTTAAAGTCAGAATAAATTTGTTTCATACCATTCGGAAAACAGCCATTTACAGTTCTCTAAATCGTGTGATAAATCGTCTTTGTAGATTAAATTCAAATAGCGAACATAAAAAACACATGGCAAACTGGTTTGTTGGCTAGCCTCAAAATTTGTGTATGACAGACACATTAAAAATGTTATGAAACACTGATAATCACACGTCATTTTAAGTTATGTTTGAAAGCAACAGAAATGTAAAAATTTATGACGACTTCGTATTGGCCTTACTTCAAATTGTGTGGTCTAATTTTGACTGGAAGGTTTTAGCCGTGATGAAAATAGTTGTTTATGAACGGAGCAAAAATGTAGTTTTTAGTACTTAATCGTATTTCTCGAACAAGATTGCGTATCAGAGAAGCCACTTTTCCTTCTAGTGACGAACACTAATATTTGTTTCTAAGTAGAACACATCATGAGTAGCCTAAATATTAAATTTTTTTTTTTAGTACATTTTTGCTATAAATCGTTAACTTACTCAATAATACACTTTGCTTAAAGTTCATTGATGATGATGGTGAATTCATAGTGTTTAATGGATTTTGTGGGAAATCCCCATTATAATTAGAAGTAAAACAAGTTTTTGTGACGTTTCAGGTTCTTTAATCTGATTTGTCCTCAGACAAGAAGATTCAGAAAACTAACAAAATCAGTAAACAAACCCAGCTAAAGGTGAAATTAATCACGTGAGAAAACCAGACAAAATTGAGTATGGTATTTAGAACAACATGCAAGAACCAATATAACCAAGAATGATAAAATAGGTTAAATGCAAAGACAAGGAACAAAGTTTACACAAGGTGGTGACTCAATAGTAGCTCACGTGTCTGACTGGTATTGAAGGAGGTAACAATTATGAAGGGAAACATAAAGGACACAAAAATAACTGAAATTGAAAAAGAAGCACCTGAAAAAAACATGACGAGATTCCAGTTCCTGAAACTTCGAGACAGCCTGTTTCAACTAATGGTAATGAAAAATATCCTCATATTCCCTTGAATACAATAATAACAGTGGTAGACTTGCGTATCTGTTGGTACAAACAACCGAATGAAAATAACGATGGATATGTCGATTGTTTCATTCTAAATATCGTTTGGTTAGTTTGGTTAACCTTACCTAACTAACCAAAAGATATGTGGAAAAATTGATATATCGATCGTTATTTTCATTCGGTTGTTTGTGCCAAGAGATACGGGAGTCTACGCAATGACAGTTATACAATTCTATTAGATAGGCCAAGTATCAAAAAAGTATATTTTTATTATTTAATGAATTTTCATTATGTAGCATATTTTATACATAGGCCTACACTACGATTATTGAAGAAAATATCAAACGTTTGTGTAATAATATTGCTTTGCATATCGTGAACAATTTAAACTATCATTGTGAAACACTAGCATACACAATATAATCTATGTATATTACTTGTTATAACACATAGTCTTTGATCTTAGGTTATGTTCATTTGATAGTGTTGTAACATATGGTAATGCAATATACTATTGATATAACATCACAAGGAGGTATTAATAACATGTTCAACGTAGTGAAATGTATTTGGACAGCTGTTTGAAACTATTTAGACTTATTTGGAGACAACTATGAGTATTTAGTTTTTGTTAACATCAGAAGCTTTAGTCACAGAAATCATGTTTATTGTTATTGCTAAAAGTGATAAGTGATTTACAGTTTCAAATTATGTACATTTTTATCTCTTTGTAAAATATATTTTTTCAACCAAACTATGGAAGATTCAACCATTGTTTGGAGGAGAATTTGATTATTGATTTTATGTCAGGATGTCCTGCACCCTAGGAAATTACTTGAGCTATCGGCTTAATAGGGTTGGGTTAAGCTCGGTACTTAGCTTAGTTTAATGTAAAGGAAATTATTCATGTTAAATATGCCATTTATGTAAATTGACTGATTTGTTATCTGTCCCTGTGTTTGTTATCTGTTACTGTGTTTGTTATTTCTTACAGATGTGTTGTGTGTTGTTGTTTTGATTTGTTGATGGTGGTTTGTTTGTTATTTTGACTTGTTTGATTTGTTATTGATTAACAAATCAAGCTAATGGTGTTTTTGAGTTATATTCTGATAGGTTTTTGTTATATCTACAACCTTGTTTCATGCCTACAATCATGACCAGGAGCACTGCGTTTTTTCAGTTTAAAGTCCTAAACGCTAGAACGCTTCGTTTTAATCAGTAATCGGTAAAAGAACCAATAGGCAAGACATTTCACAAAACAAAATAGCCTAAAATACGCATACAAAGGGTAGAAATGTTTCCAAAGGGTGGATTAATAATAAATAAACTAAAACATCACAAATATATATAATGGATAGTACTACACACCTAAAATAAATGACAAAGTATCCAAGCTTTGGTTTGTCTTATTTGATCGTTAACAAATTTCCTTTACAACTACACCTATCACCTAAGCATGGCTTATTTTAAGCACTACTCTATGATGACTAAAAACCAATTTGCTGTAGTGGTTGAGCCTGAGCTTCGTTCTCCAATGTCCTGGGTTCAAAACCATCCAAACGCTAACTATGTTAATTAAAAGTTAGTGATATCACGGTTCTTTAGGCCAGCCTGAAGTAACGTAAAACGTCCGGAATTGAGCCAAGTATGTTACGTTGGAAAGATAAAACATAGAAAAATAAACAAAAAAAATTTATTACAAACCCTAAATACATTAAATAACATTACCTACCTGTTCTCACATTTTGCTCCATTGAGGTAGGAAGTATGATTCTTTCCAAGTCACTTAAAGATCCGTTAGTTCTCACATGTGATCGTAAAGAGAAAATGACGTATCGTCAAGAAACGTGTCTCTTATCTCTTGGTTTTACGTTCACTTGTCACATCTTTCAACACCTTCACATCACTATTTCTTTTTGCAGGATACAAAGAAAATGTTTAATTTTTGTATAAGTCCGTACTTAATAATAATATTTTTACAGTAACACTAATTTTAACAATTCAATAGAAATTCAGATTATGATTGTATTCTGTACAACATTGTTGGTATTTAGAATTATCATTAAGTAAACAAATCTCAACGTAGTAAAGATTCTTAAGTCTTAAAACCCAATTAAGGTAAGTCTGTATAAACCCGGAAATCTATTTAAAAAGGGATAAAAGGATGTGAAGTGTATTAAGATAAGTACAAGCAATGGCTTTGGATATTGTTCTAATCTATATAGGAGGATAAGAACAAATAATTTTAAGATATAGTTTGATGAGTCCTCAGATAAAAGGATCATTTAAGTATTAATTTCTGTAATACATGAAGATGAACACTTAGAATTTGATAGTCAACAGTACCTTTTTCATTTTGACATAATATAAGTAACGAATTTATAATTTAACGTATGAGCATGAGGTGGTTGAGGATATATGACGCTGAATATTTCAGCAACACTGTAAGTGGCCAAATTTATATCTTAAAATTTGTCTAACTCTGGCTATGAATTGAATGTTAAACAAACTTCTACCTTACTGCACTGGCAGCAGTTTTAGTAATATTATATTTCACTAAAAGTCACGAATGTGACTTCTACTCAAATGGAACTTTCGTGGCGAGTATTGAACGATACGCTTCTTCACGATGAAAAAAACCATTTTATCAAACTTAAAAACTTTGAATTGATTTTAGGTAAAATATTGTTTGTGTAGTGAAAGTAATATTTATGTCAGGAAAAGTCAGCTGATCACTATTTGTTTTTGGGTATGGAAATTGATGATTTTCGAAGATCTCAGCTGTATAGAAATAAGGTAATTTCCAAATACAGAGGGATACAAAAAATAATGACTGTATGTATTACGTTTCTGACAACAATGTTAACACATTTCGGTAAGACAAATGCAGTGAATAAATTAAATAATGAAACTGAAGTTTTATGTAAACCAAATAAGTTCTATATTCCTTTTTATCTTGACCCCAAGTAGGTTTTATAATAAAATAAAACAGTATACATACACTGCACCTGAAAGTGAATTTAGGTCACAAAACCCTCTATACTTTATCATCTACAATTGACTATTTTTCACCAACTAGCAACTAGAATGAAGCCAGATACGAACCCTATGACGTTGTTGCCACTGGCGGCACTTTATTAGTGTGAAGAGGGACAGCCCTTACCTCCTTCACTTCACAGCTCCTCTCAAATACGTAGATTTAGTATGAAACTTGCACCAAAATATTTGTAAAAAAGTTAAAGTTCTTCTTCTTAGTGACGTTCTAGTAGACTAAAAAGATACTGTGGCTGTTTTATTACCATGTTTTCTTCAGTTTTGGGTGAAATTGCAGCTGCCACAGGTGCGTATACGATTGTAAGGTACCAAATAAAGGAGGTACACAACACTCATTTACATTGCACTTCGGTGGTTTATTTAGGTTAGGTTGGGTTTGGTTAGGTTTGGTTAGTTTATGATAATGATAAAAAAAGGTAGCATATGCATAATAATTTACTCTTTTATGAACACAACCGCTTTATTCAACACATAAAACGAGAATTGGCTCTTTGTAAATTTGTGTCTTCAATTCATTAAATAAATAACAACTTTTATTTGGTTGATATTACTTATAATTAAAAAACAAACATCACCAATATTACATTGGGATACATATAAAATCATAAAACTAAAAATTCATAAATTGTTGGAGATGTTTTATTTTAAATTATATTTATTCCAATGTTACCAGTTCTTCATGAATATTGAATTTATCTTGTTTTAAACGATCATAAGCGAACGAAAATTAGCCTAATTTTACCTAACAACTACAGCACACAGTAAAAATGTCGGCCCTCTCCAGTTTTGGACTCAGGGTAAATTAAAAACCATCCATATACAAAATAATGTATTAAATATCACAAATATAGAAACACATTAAGATTAAAAAGTCCGGACGATGTGGTGACGTCACCTGTAGACTAGGGGGGTGAGGGTGGTAAATAACATTAACATGGTGGGGGCCACTGTGGCAGCTGGGCTATTGGGGACTGTGGGGGCGCTGGTAGTGGCTGCCAGTGGGGCGGCGGCCGTGGATAGACAATTTTGGTACTCGGAGTACTCTAGGCGAGTCAGAGCACAGTAGTGGGAATGGGCAGTATGAGTGGCAGTGGGACCAGTGGATCTGTACACGGAGTTGGCCTGCAAGTACCTATAAAAAATGGAATAAAATAGATCGTGGATGAAAATGGATCGTCTACACTTGGACTTGGATACTGTAGCGGTTCTAGGGCCTTGTAAAGGGGAGTTAGCTACCGGGGCGTTCCACACCAGTAGGGAGGTAGGGTCGGCCTCCCCTGGAAAAATCTGCTATTTTTAAAGCCGTTTAGTGACTTCATAAAGCAGTTTTAAGGTCTATAACTATTCCCAAAAACCTTCATTATGTTTGTATAACAAATTGTATGTTTACATTTATACATTCAGGGCCCAATGGGGGGATGTAGCCCCTATAGCCCCCCTCAGAACCGATATTGCTCGGAAAATACAAGTGTTGGATAAGCGATAGGTAAAAGAGAAATTTGTCTTGATGGATTTATCTGCTCTTAACATATCCACCTTTTCTAAAATGTCTTGGGTTGGAAAAGTTAAATTTAATAATGGTAAAATTTTGAAAACTCTAAAGTTTTTAATTAGAAAATATTAGTTTTTTAGCTAAGAATTTTTATAAATAAATAAAAAACACCTGCCTGTCCTCTAAATGTTTTGCAATAAAGTCTACCTATTTGTCACCGAAACATAAAAAATATTAAATCAAATCAATTGCAAATACTTTTTAAATCTGTAGTTATGAATTAGAATGATTATAACTAAAAAATGATGGTGAACCACTAGTTTTTAAATCCATAAGAAACTTAAAATACAATATTTACTTTATAATTTTATTTAATAGTACGTATAGGAAAATCCATAAAAATAATATCACGAAACAAAAAAATATTAAAAACTTCTCTAACTTGCAAATCCCACTAAATCCCATTGTAAAGAGTAAATCCAAATATTTGAAAAAAGTGGATAAAACAAGCATTTACAGTAACAAAGGGAATGTAAGAGGGATTTAACAAAACCGGCTTGTATTGAATGTGCGGCGAAGCATGGAATTGAAGATAAGGTCAGTTACAAACACTACCACGTATAAGCTATAATTTTAGACTTGGTCCCTATGTCCCTGATAACAAAGAAGGGGTTTGTGAAAATCGCCAAAACATTACAACATGTATTAAGGATTTATTGTTACATAAAATATCCCTACTTGGAAAGGTTTTGCAGAGTTTTGTTAGGGGATTTGTTCTATTTAAAGGGGGTGATGCAATTATTTTGCTAGATCTATTGCAACAGTATAATGTGTATTTATGGGTAAAATAAAGATAAAATGAAAATAATTATAAATGCAGGTAAACACACACAATACATTCTTCAAACATAACGACGTACGGAAACGTTTTTAAGTAGTGTTTTGTCTATGATGTAGTTTTATCGAATTTTTCTCTGAGAGTAAAATGATGGAAAAATTGATGAATTCGTGCTTTAATTTTTACCAATACTTATAATTCAATCTTAATTAGTTTATAGTTTGTAATACTAAATACACATATATTCAGAACCGAAGAAGTTTTATCTCAGAAATGCTATAAGTTTAAGAAAATAAACAAAGAATTACCACTTTTTTGCTAAACCAGTTTGACAACTATGTTTGATGATTAATTATTTTCCAATTTGAAACAAATATGAGGTTTGTCCAATATACTTTGAATTTGAACAAAGCCTGGATATATTATTCAAAACGCTTTACAAAACCCTGTCTTTACATTTTGCACTACTATAAAACTAATAGGGAGGGGGAATTTATCTTTTAGAATGTTTAGAATGTAGATATGTTTCTATATGACTTACCTAACGAACAATGGAAGACCATCGGGGGTGTTAAAAGCTTCAGCTAGCTCATGTAACTGCAAAGCAGAACTTTGCCTCAGTCCGTAATAATCGGTCAAATTGTAGAGGACAGTCCACTCAGGTCCTTCGATTTCCGTTTCCTCTTCGTCATCAGCTGAAGATGTTCTCTGGACGTGTAACTGATTAGCTTCTGTCAGGTCCAGGAAATACTGGGAGTAGTCAAGTACCTGGACCACAAAGATAACAAAATATGAACACTTAGTTAAACTTTCAATGAAGGTTCAAGCTGGAATTTTCAGTTGTTTTCGTTTATGTATAACCTACAAACTATTTTGCTTACGATTTCTTTCTTAGCTTAATCATTTGACAACAATGTAAAAACAAATGAAAATATTTAAAATGAATAGTATACTTTTTAGATATTGTGGATAGTACACTTTGAAATTGATGACCGATTATTTTAATGTAATATTAGGGGACACAGTGCTGTTTTACAGCGTTGAAATGTGTGTTTTGATTGGGTAATACAGTATCTTGAACTTAACCGACTCAAACTATCCATATTTAAAATGAAAGCCTTTATTTCTAGGAGTATATAAATACCAAGGCATACAAATTAAATAAACCAAGTTACGTACAATTGATGGGAGATAAGTCCTAAAATAATTATAATTATTGTTGATTCTTCATTTAACAGCGCACTTCAGTTACGTCCAATCTCAATAATCAATAGCTTAAATGAAAGCTGCTATTTCACTGAAGCTTATTGGATCAAAATATACAGGAAAATGTAGTTAGAACTAGCGAAACACATATTTAATTTAAGTAAGAACTATTAAACAAATAAAAAAATACGTCTTATCGAGTAACAGAACAGATAAAAATAAACGATCATGCCTGATGGCGAATTTTAACTTCCATACCTTTAATTTTACACCAAAATTATGAAAATTGGTCTGGTAGAAGAGCCGAACATACTCGGAAAAGAAAACCAATATTTTATAATATATAGAGATACATTTTATGGACACAATTATTGCTTGCTCTTTAGTAAAGTGGGTTGTAGTATTGGTAATTTTTTACTTGTCTTAAATTCTTTGTCTTTTTGTAACAGTCAAATAGACCAACAAATTATGGTAGACTCCACTTAGACATGCCTCAGCATTATTCCATTTCCATATTTCAGTTCCGATTCTAAATAAGTTCAAACATATGTTATACAAGCTATACCTCTACAAACCAAATTTTATTTTGTCCTAGGATGCTCATGTGCCGGGAATTGTTTTTTACATTACTTCAAGCTAGGCGGATTTATCACTTAGATAAAATCCATTGGTGATTTGCTGGGATTTGAACCCGGAACCCCAGGGACCGAAGTCCAGCACTCTACCTCTAGACTATTTCGCTGTACAAAACCATTGTTCAGTTTAGCTATACATATTTTCCTTTGGTTTGTCACTGGTTTTTGTTTATGATGAATACTACAAAAACTTTAATTAACGTTACCTGTCCGGTGTCTATTTCTATCTTGTACTTCCTGACTCCGGGATTATTGTATCCTGAAGAAGACCTCCTAGGAGTCAAGGAGGGGGCGAAGAATATTCGAGAAACTGGAACGCCTGTAAAAGGACAATTTAATAACTTATTTACCATCGATAATTTGAAAATGGAAAATTGAATTTGAAAAACGTAATGGTCTCTCTCGTCTCCAGCTTTAATATATTTTTCTCAGTCCAGTCACAAACAAGAAGCCCTATAATCTCCGTTAGGTCCTCCTCCTCGAGAACTTAACTGCATTTCTTCTCTCTATCACATCCCTAGTGAAACTCATTCTAACCCCTAAATGGGGTAATATTAAAGATTAATTTCCATAACTATTCCATATAAGTCGCTTTATCTCGGCTTTACCTATTACAATTACTATCCATCTACTATCTCGTCCTTCTCAAGCACATCCATTTATCGTAGGTAATAGCGTGTTATTATTTTTTAAATATATTTTAAATATCTAAGTATGTATAATAAATTATATTTCTTTGTACTTCCACTTTTAGTAAAACCATTTGTCTTATATATATTATATGTTATTTGCTTATTAATTTAATCCAAAAAATTAAATGTACATTATGTATTATGTAAGCCAAGTGAGGATATGTCATTTTCATTCATTGATGAGCTGTTTAAGGCAGCAGGGGGAAACCCTTTTTAAAATCATTCGTATGAATGTAAAAATCACTAAAATAGCTAAAATAGTCAGTAACAAAGCTACACAGATCTCAAACCTTTCTATTCTCATTCTTCACTCATATTTAGGTTCCAATACGCACCTAGGTGGAGTCCCCATCACAACGATTTTGGTCAAGTAAATCAATATTGTACTTTTTTAAGGTCATGACCATAAGAATCTCACCTTCATCGCTGTACACGATTCTGAACGTGTCCGAATGCAAGTGTCCGAAGAACTGCCCAGTGATAATGTCCGAATATCGTCGTACAAGTGACAGATATTTATCACTATGTTGAACGGACATGTGAGGTCTGGGAAGCCCTCCTACCCTTTCATCAACACCTGGACCTATGTGGCCAACCAAGTACACCTGGAAAACCAAAAGGGGTGGGTAAGAGAAGATGCATGCACTATCTGAGTGCTAAGTACGGAGCGGCTGAAGGGAACCTCTTGGGATGAAGCAAGATTAAACAAAGACGTCATCACACCGGCAGTTACTGTCATAACCTAACTATCCGAATTTGCTGATGATTAAAAAAAATTAAGGTTAAATTCAGTTCATGAAATAAAATTTAAATGCCTCAAATTCTAACTAAAGAAGATATGATCATTTAAGAAGAAATTGCATTCTAAGTGAAATCTTTGACAAAAAGTTAAGTTTCACCGATAGGATTCGATCTATACCTCTTGTCATCAGCCGAGTAGTCCATCCACTACGCCACGAACACCAATGGCTGTATATCACAAGCTAGCAAAGAAAGAAACAGACGAATTTGATCATGTGAGTCGCAAGAAACAATGACGTCATCATCTTCATCCCGAGAGGCTCCCTTCAGCTGCTTTCGTGCCAAGTATTCTAAAGTGAATTTAAATAATATTCCTTTTTTTTCCAGCTGTGTAAATAAAGAAGGAAATTAAAATATGTATATACAAATAATTACCCTTGGATACATGCAAAAAGAAGGAGATTTCATTGAAAGTGTATTCAATGTTCTTACATCTAAATTGATAAAACCTTGATTTAATGTGTTTGCTTAGTGTCAAGAATATTTGGTTGTGTGAGCCTTGTGGTTAGCATTTCGGACTTCGGTGCGGGAAATACGGGTTCGATTCCCGGGAATTCCACAATATAAACATATAAACCTTCGGGTTTGGATGACGTTCCCAAAAAGCGTTATAATAACACTCGCTGATTCTCTGAAAAAATTCCACTGACGTGAACAAAAACAAAAAAGGTTATTTGGTCGTTCTTAAAAACGAGTAGTTTTTTAACTGTCATATACTATACATAATATTATAATATCTGAAATACTGCTTCTTCTAAAGCACGGTCTGTTTACGCTATTTGATGATTAGGCTTTCAAATATAAAGGTGGACAAACAGGACATACAGGACAACAAAACCATAACTAATCAATACACCAAAGCCTAAAAGATTTTTGTCTAGTGTGAAATACATTTTTTTATTTTAATATGTCCTTTTATATTGATGGATTTTAAAATGTCCATTGTGTTAAACTTATAATTGCTAATTTTAATAAATCAGAGAATATAATGCAAATACGGCTTGGAAGAGGAGAAGAGAAGAAACATAATGAGTTGAGAAGCATTTGTCTTTACTTTGTATTATTTGTTAGAGGCCCAACAATCAAGAACATATAGGTAGAGTTTTGAATTACAAAAACACTCATCTTCAGCATTATACATACAACCTCTTGATTCCTCCATAGATGGGTAAATTTAAACGTATTTAACTAACACGTAGTTACTCACAATTGAATTGAAAACACAAACCAACTCTTAACCAACTAGATTTACAAGCAATTTCCGATTTTATCCCAAAGTAAAATACGACTACAAATAGATTAGCTTTCTTAAAGTATATTGCTACCCAATATTGGAGCGCTGGACAAATGCTCCTTTTTCATTGATATCGGTCTGTAAATGGGGCGATATATTTGGTCGTTTGGTATCGGCTTTCGGTCGGTTTCATTCAGACGATTTAGCCACGGAATAAAAGAGACTTTTCAATGGATCGGACGTTACGTACTTACTTTCTCTATTGAAGATTGGTGGATTACCATTATTCACTGACTAAAGTTTTTTGCCTGCATTTTAGTCACAGGTATTTTAACTTTAAGTTATAGAGTAATCAATTTATTATTTTGTATGAAACTTTTTCTTACAGTTTTTTCTATACAACGGAGTTTTTAGTACCTATAAAAAAAAACATAGTAAAATCACTGAGAAGTAGGGTACTTCTCTATAGTAAAATACAATTTTAAATGTTCTCTCATTGCAAAAACATAATCTGAATCTTTTTTTTAGGAATTTTAATCAAACTAATTTAAACTACAATATACTGTTTATAGTGTGGTATACCATGATTTGGAACACATAAAAAGTCACAGTATTCGACTCATGCATATAACAATAAGCTTACTATTAAAACAGCTGACTTAGTTCAACAAAACATTTTTCAATAAATAAATCATCGATTGAGGAAATAATAGAACAAGAAGATGGACGAGAATTAGGTGGAAGAGGAGAAGTAGGGGAAGATCGAGGGAAACAAAACTAAAACGTAATTTGATGTAGATGAAGACAAAAGAAGACGGAGAAAAAAGGCCAAAGAACAAATTTTGTGGATGCTGATTTTTAGCTACGTATCTCTAGAATTGAGCACTAAAAATAGAATCTGTACATTATATGATAATTATTTCATAAATTTATATAAATTCACCGTTTCATTCTTCTTCCTGGACTTGGAGAGGAGGTCCTCCAACCATGCCCACTGGCCTGAGGGATCCACGCCTTCAACAGAGTCCGTGCAGAGGTTAGTGTTGAGAGCAACTATACGCAGCTTCCTCTGTTTTCTTTCTATGGAGTAGTAACCTCCTGAAAACATATTGAAAATAGAATAAAGTCGACCCTCCACTAAATGTACATCAGACGCAAAGGGAAACATCTATTTATATGCAAATTCAACAAATTTACATTAGTATCCAGGAAATAGTCCAACGTTTCAGCTTGAATACATTTAACTATTTTCTTTAATTGGACCTTATCAGACATAAAATAGTATTATTATATTTTAAACTGTATTATAAGTTACGTTGACTATTTAAAAAAAAAACTATAAAATAAGTTTTGGAGTACAGTAGTCAAGCGTAATGCCACTAAACTAACAAGATAAGTCTGCATCTTCAAAATAAAAAAAAATCCAATAGCCCCGATAGAGGATGGAAAAATTTTACAAATCATTATTTAAAAAATGTCATAACAGAAATCATGATTAATGAAAATCATAAGAATGGTTCCACCAATTAGGTAAGATGTTGTCTTTTTACAAAGACCCATGAGAAAAAATTAAAATGAATAGTACAATCGTATAAAATAAACATCAATAAAGTGGAAATAATAAGGCTGAACAGTGTGTTATTTCTACGGATGTTTTAAAAATATATGTTTAACATTTTGAGTAGTTTTAATTATATGTAATATACTTAGATTAACATAGATTAAGTTATCTTATTTTGACCATAAACAATTTGAATAGTGATGGAAATTGTTTCAGGCTTTGCAATATCATCTAAAGAAAACAAAAATCTCTCAAAACCGAAGACAGAACCTAAGGAGAATTTGGTTAAGTCGAGTACCAATGACACTGACAGCTACCTTGAATCGGTGTCCAAGCTAGTTAAGTTAAGTAATTAATATAAAGTCAATGCTAATAGCAACCAATTTTTTGTTGTAAAAGTTCATAGATGGGAAAAGCATGGAGAACCATAAATAATAGTTTTGAACTCCCAAATAAGTAAAACTGGTCATCAGCTGATTTTTGTTTACTAAAAAGGCTAAAGTAGCCTACGATCTTTCTTATATATTTACCAGTTTTGAAGGTAACCAAAGCCTCCTCCGGGAGCCAATGCTGCCAAAGACTTGCCAACTCCTGGTAAGGTTCTTGGGTAGAAGTGTTGTTAGCTTCAGGGTCGTCATGGCCCAGTACAGGGAACACGAAGTGGGAAGTGAACTTATGACTTAGGAGGTTAGTCAGGTTGGTCAGCGCCGCCATCTTGTCTAGACCTCGGTTAGAGGTTAGGCCGTCACTGAAAATAGTTACACTATTGACGAAAAAAGTGTATGTTCTCAAACAATACATAATGCTTTAACACGGCTACATTATAATAACTAAAAGGATCTTTCAAAAACATTGAAATTTATTATGTATTAATTATTTTAAATATCTGGCCAAATCTTACACTTGGCGTCCTCATTTCATAATGATATTGATAATGACTTGGGCCAAAAGTTGTGCTGTATTTCCAATTGATTTCACATGATTAAAAACAAGGAATACAATGCACAAATGGGCAATATAACCAAACAAATGTCATTTATTAGAAAACAAATACGGGCTGCAGCATATTATATCTCATTACATTTTCTTTTGCTGTTTACTTACTGTAATTTGGGAAATCCAGGGTATTATTAATGTTTTTTATTTAAAGGCTGCATTTAGTATTTTGTTTCTTTTTATTTTATGTTTTTCTTCAAATTCTAGGAGGCTCTAATACTTAAATGAAGTGCTGGTTGCCCTCTGGTCCGAAAACGTTTTACACATTAATGCTAAGCTTAGAGGTTCGTGAGACATAACCATTGACTATTCAAGTACATAATGCAATCACTTGGTAATAGGCAGGATGCAAACCAGTGACCTTGTACTTCTACCTAACTACAACGACTTGCACCTAACTACAGATTCCTCCCATTTCGTAATAAACTTTTGCAGTATGCTATTTAGTGAGGTACTTCGTAGAGGCTACAACAAAAATGCATCGCAATAAAATATTGACTAACTAATTGTACTAATTTTATTTTCGGGGTGTGTAGGCACTAACTTATTTTATTATTTAGGAATGTCATAAATACACCGCTCATTGACTACTTGCTCTATACTTTAATACTACTATTCTCTTACCCAGTCCATAGTATAAACTCCACATCGTCTCCTAGTGCGGAGTTCACCGTATGAACAGCTGACTCCACCAAGGACCATGGTGCATCACAGTTGTGGTCCCCGTATCTCCCCACAGGCACTTCCCTCCCGCCACGTATACAATCTGTAACATGAAGCCAATGTTTACTTCAGTAGCGAAAATGTCTTCCTATTTAAGTTTCTAGTAGTGATGCCAAATGAAGATTGACATTAGGGTAATTGGAGTAGCACAATATAGTGATCTTGAATAGATGTTCAATTTACAACGCTTATGATCATTCTTATTTATACATGATGCCGAACTGTTAACCAGTTTTCTTTTTACTTGTGAGGAATACCATTATTATAAAGGTAGGCTTACAATGCAAACAATTTTTTGTTTATTTATTAATTCAAGGTAACAATATTAATTTTGTTTTCTATCTTTATAACGAGTCATAATATTGAACGTGGTTAACATATGATTGTTACATTAACATAGAAAACTGTGGATAAATTGTTGTGCCAAATGATAAACACTCCTATTTAAACAAATTGTACAAAAAATCACGCATATGGGATAAAGAATATATAATAAGGAAATAAAGTACTTTATAAGGTCTAGCAACCAATCAAGTCGTGATGATTTACTTACTGTTTTCTTTGGTGTCATATTTTGGGTCCCAGTGAATGTCAGTGATATGCCAAAAGTAACCTGAAAACGGTGTACAATTTTTAAGTTCACAATCTAAGCAAATAAAAGATAGCAATTTCTTACAAGTGTGAAAGGACATTCTAATATCCAATATACTATCAATATATTTTCATTCTAACAACATTAAAATATTACGACCTATACTACTAAGAGCTATACTACTTCTGGTCCTCTGGGATTAAAAAGGAAAAGTAAGTCGCGATTCTCCTGTTTAAGGAAAATACTCTGCCTACTTGAAAGCATGCTAATAGTCACAATGCAAGCAAATCAAACAATAATGTTTACAATAGAGGTCTGCTTGTACAATTAATTAATATTATTGATTTGTAATATAAGCCTAAGATATTACCTGTAAGCCTTTATGTACTGATTACCAATTACACAAACCACATATCAGTTACATGGAGCTAATTGATTAATCAGCAATAATATGACTAGCCCAATTATTCTTTCTACTCTTAACTGTGTCTCCCGATATTAGTAGAAGAATCCATATTTTCCAAAAAATTAAGTAACATATTTTATATAGCCTATATTATAAGGCAAAAAATTAAAAGACTTTATTCGTATGAAGCCACTAAAAAGAGTTATCGGGTAAGTTTACTTAAAAGTTTTTACCACAAAAGCAAGCTTAGCCAACCAATGGTTGGATGGGTTCAAAGATAACTTTTGCCAAACGATGCATCCGTTCTCTCGGGAAAAACGCTAGCAAAACACGTTGCCAGTGTTAGTGACAGGCAGATAGACAGGTGAGATAGGTTCCGGGTTTTACATGTTCGAACTCGTTAATATACCAGTGAAAACAAGCTTCAAGTCGTTTGTAGAGAATTTGAAATACTTTTTAAACACTACTGTGTACACGACGTTTTGAAAGATTTATTGATGTAGACTTCAAAAATATCATTAAAGAGTAGATGTAGACGATATACAGGGTGTCCCGTAACTCTTTTAGCGTTATTGCTTAGGTCAAGACACTTTACAGAGAACTTTACAAAAAAATGTTGTTTAGCATTGTTTTAAAAATGGAGAAAAGTGGTCATACATTACTAAAACTACACGTTTCTCCATGTTATTATTTATCCAATCTTAACAAATAAGGTATTATTGAAAATTACATAAAATTTACAAACTTTTTTGTATCTTGCAATTTTTTTTTAAGTTAACGGGTTTCGTGAAATTTGGCATCAAATATTTTAAATGGCCGCCATTTTGAAACGATTAATGATTTTTTTGTATAAGTTCTAACGATAATAGGTCTTATTAAGTTAAAATTTATGCAAAATATCATAGCTGTATCTGAAACCGTTTAGGAGTTATTATTGTTTTTGTAAAAAAAACATAAATGCCGACAGTCGGTAAACTAGACACCACAGACCCATGTTCCTATGGTGAAATGTGTTTGTCTTGACCTAAGGAATAACGCTATACAAGTGTCTAGAGAGTTACGGGTCACCCTGTATACGAGTGTTAATGGCCTGAGGGAATTAATAATACCTATTTCATGGAAAATTAGTTTCCTTTATTTTAGTAAATTGTTGAATTTAAGTATTGTCTTGTAAATATAATTCAATAAATTAAACCATAAGTATTTACATACATTTTTTTACTGAGATTTCTGGTTAAATTTTAATTAATATATTAAAAGTATTAGTAGCAATGAGTAAAAGATAGTTACGCAATACTAAGCAGAAGTAAAATGATAATTAAATATTATTTTAAGGGTTGATAAAAAATGTTTAGTAAACAGTAAAGACATTCAGTAGATAAAAATTAAATACTTATGATAATTTGATTTAAAAAGGATTAGCTTAAATTAAGTCCATAACGCAAAACAAAGGTCTATACCAATTTTTAAATCTTAGTTTACAAAGTATTTTATCATTTTCATTGGCATATAATTTTAATATTCATAATAAAGTGCATTAGCAGTTGTATTGGATTATGCACATAGTTAGTTACAAATAGTTAAAATGCACACTTATATACAAACTTTGTTTTGTGGCATGAAGGTTTGTGAAAATAATTACAATAAATAATTTATTTTAATTAACTCGCTACCATAAAAATTGTTCACCAAAGAGATCGATTCAATTGTATACATTTCATTTTATTTGTTATAACCTAATCAAAATACTGATGTGCTAAAAATACTTAATATTATAATATGTATTGTATTTATGTTTTATATAGTTTTATTGATGTACTACCTTTATACTAATATTATGTTTCTGAATACAAAAAAAAAACATTTCATTTGCTTGGTGTTCGCTATAGCAATGTAATAGTTTTTACTATACCGAGGTATATCAATATGTATCTAAGTATTTTTGCGCCTCGATGAACGTTACCTTTCATAACTCGTACCTAAAGTGATTTTTCGGTAATTTCTCTAATTATTTCAGTTTTTGGTTTGCCTTGCATTTTATTTTTGGGCCTTTTTGAGAATTCGGTGTATGAAGCAAAACCTACCGGCGAAAATTTCGGTTCAAGTATTTAAATAAGCTGTCCCTCATCAATAAATAACACGTTATAATGTTATGTGGTTTTATTTCGTTATAAAAAAAAAACCGCTAAGATAAACTTACCGACGTTGTTTGCCGTGACTGCAACGATCAGAAAAAGAGCAATGTAGACCACCATCCCTGTTAGCTGCATTCTAATGATAAGATCTATAAACAAACATAAAAGAAATGTTAAAAGATTATATACCAAAAATACAGTATAAATTTTTTAATCAGTAAATAGTATTACTTGGTGATCACTGTAGCGTACCCTCATAATTGTGATACTTAAGCCTAATAGTCAGTCTGTTTTAGGTGAACAGCGTTATTTGATAGCTTGTAAATTAATTACTCTATAGGTTTTGAAAATCAGTTACTCTGCACTCCTTAAATTGGCGGAATGTTGTACGTTAAATATGTATTATACGCACGTTAGGTTAATTTCATAGCTAACCACAGGGACCATCCCGAATTTTATATTTAATCATAATATCTCTTTTATGAAGGGGTGGTTTGTACCACCCTGTAATTCCATGAAAAAATACTCAAACCGAAATTCTGCCACATACAAATTATTAATGTTGAGATTGTAGCACAACGGATTCAGTTATCAAATAATTAAATAACTTACGTCATCAATCCATAAATTGCTGTGGAGTACGCGTTTCAACCATCAGGTTATCCTCAGCTCCACTGTCACTAGGTTGAATCTGTTTCTATGTTGCTTTGTAGCAACAGCGTCGATATATTAAATAAATAGTCCAAACACATTTTACATTTATCACACATACACGACACATACGAAACATTTGTGTCGTGTATGTGTGATAATGTAAAATGTGTTTGGACTATTTATTTAATATATCGACGCTGTTGCTACAAAGCAACATAGAAACAGATTCAACCTAGTGACAGTGGAGCTGAGGATGACCTGATGGTTGAAACGCGTACTCCACAGCAATTTATGGATTGATGACGTAAGTTATTTAACTATACAAATTATTTTTTGCAACTTTTAGTTTGGAGCCAACAGAACTCCACACATTTTCATATATAAAATACACATATTTATAGAACTTCTTAATAGGTATTTATTATAGACAATAGACAATATATACTTCTTCCTTTAAACAATAAATAGATAATGCAATAGGACAAGTCAAGAATTTTATATGGTAAAATACATACAGTTGAGACACATAAACAAGATAAGAGCAGTGACAATGATTTAGAAAGTATTATGACGATAGTACTAAAACAGAATAGTAGGACTAATATTCCAAGCATCAGAAAATTGTAATATGATTTTGACGGTAATTACAATATTAAAACTTATGAGGAAAAAGCTTTGTGCTCTTTCTACCCTCAAGCGTGCTTCAAAATAATGACATTTCAGTAAAAATAATACATAATTATTCATGAAGTTCAGGTTTTATTGCAAATAACAAAATGTCTATAGTTTGTGGTTTATCAATTTGTAAAACATATTTTAACCACATAAAATATTTTTAATACTAATACTAACTTCATTAATTGGACCATTCAGCCTTGTTACCAATGGTTTAAGGCTAGTTTACAGGAATACATTTTACAATTAGAGAAAAGATTTGTAGAGGTTGATAAATCATTCAAGTAAAATTTAGCGCAGTAGGTAGCATTTAACTCAATCAAAAATATTTATAATCTATACACTAAATAGAATCTTAAACTATTTATTTAGTTTAATAATTTATTTTGTAGCTAGTTTGTGTTAAACACAAAATCACTAAATGTACTTCCGACGGGAAGAATAAGCATCTATTTATATGCAAATGCAACCCATTTGCATTAGTCCCAAGGAAATAGTTTGAAATTTTAACTTAAGAATACGGATCTGTTTTGATAACTAAACTTTGGATGTGAAATACCTTCAAATTATATTATTTAATATGAAATATGCCAATTACTGTGACATATAAATTTGAAATAAAAACTTCACCAATATTTTCAGAATTTTTAATTTCATGAGGCCTTTCGCCAGCTATGATGACACATCACCAGACACATCACAAAAACTGTGACATAAATTATGTTTTCATTTACTTTTTTACTTTTTGTGGCAATGCACGTGTTTTGAGACTATTCCATGAAACATGTATTTTTTTCTTAAAAGATGAAGTTATGATACTAAGAGGGAACATGGTTATAGAATTATTTGAAACATTAAAACTTCCCTATGGTTTTAGTAAAAAGGTCATTATCGTTTTTTTGCTAGAAGCGGCAAAGGCTGAAATTGAAAACAGCCCGAGGAGAGGATTCCTTTTCAGCTTTTGTTTTGGAGAACTGAACGACCAGCGTGTCATTGGTAATATCCCCCTTATAAAAAACCAACTTTATCAAAAATTACTTCTAATTTTGGTTTATTTTAAATTTCCTTATTTAATCAACCGTTGCAATATATTTATGACCAAATCACGTATGACTTGGCAAAAAGTATGTTATACATAAACAATATAGCTTAGGCTTATTTAAAAATACATACTTTCTGTTTTCGCTATGAATAATCGTAAGATGTTATTTCTTTTGAAATACACACTTTTGAAATTATATGTTTTTAACGGAATAGCTTTAGAGTAAAAATTCAATTTATATTGTGTTGCGTGCCTATTTTTTAAGCCCTTAAAGAGGATTTATGTTATTAGTTTGTAAATAGATAAGTGATTGAATCATGATTGACAAGTGAAGACATATGTAACATTATACATCATCTAGGTACAAATCGTGCTCTAAAAAACAATACAAGACATATGTAAAATGAAGTTTAAATTAGAGGTAAAGATTTCACATTGAATTAGGCTAACTCATTTTTCAGATTTGTTTAGTGCCAGTTTATTTAGCTTAATTAGAATCTTATTCACCAGTGTTTCTATTTATAACCGATCACGTGATTTGCTTATGAAATATTATAGACTATTTGTGAAACGTGTTTTGTATCGAGAAACGTCTGAAAACCGATTTTTTCTTTAGAAATCTCAGTGATTAAAGTAATAAATAAACGGCTAGAGGGTTAGACAAGTTGATAAGCTTTTGAATGATGAAGATCGATCATAATCTTCAGTCTTGACACTTTCTTTGCTTGTTTTTCACCCTTCCACTGAGTATCTCCTAAACTATTAGTCTTTTACTTCAAATAAAATCATTTAAAAGTAAAAAATAAAAGTGAGAGATTCAATTATTTAAAAAGGTTGTAAAAACAATAATCTTTGCCCTAGAAATAAATATTTGTAGAAGATAAACTGTAAAAAAACCAATGAAAAATTATTGGATCTTAGAATGAATAACAAACCTTAAATTAAAATATCTAACTTCTACTTAATGATTAAATACAAACAAAATAATATCTTTGTACAATGTTGAGTTGCCTTAATCTTCAGTAGAAACATAACTTCTTTTTTAATTAAAGTTACAAAATATTGAGCTAAACAAACATAGCTCATAGTGTATTTTCTGTCTGAAAACGTAATGAGTTTATGTTTTCATGAACTTTAACCATTACTGTATTTCTTATTTAATTATTTAGGACGAAAAACCTTTCAAGACTTTCTCTTAAGTCGTAAATTCACTACCACTACTCATCCTAATGTATTTAGAATATTAAACTTTAATATTTCTGTAATTTTAACGAAGTAGGTATTATATTTGTTATGTACATATATTTTAAGTCTCATCATTTAAGTTACCTATCTAAAATCGATGTAGAAAATAATTATTCGTTTAGCATGCAGGGAATGTATTACAGTAATAAAATATTACAACGTTCACTTAAAATGAAGTAGTTATAAATAACAATGATAGTAAAAGCACGACTTGCAGTAAAAAAACTTAACATTGTAATATTTTATATGAAGTTGCCAGTAGGAGATGTAGCAACATTTTTAGTTATATTTTTTAGTGTACATACAAAAATAAATATGTAGTCATGAAAACAATTTATATAAAAACTATTATTCTATAATAACTATTTGGAATCTGTTTGGTGTCTTAAACCTTTCAAAAGTGCTCGTACCTAACCTAATAATATTGGCAAAAACGATTTTCTAAATGAAAAACAAGTTTTTAGTATATGGTTTTAATATATCTTTCACTGAATTTGTCCATCCAAAGTATAACACTTTAGATATACATTTTCTTTTAACATAAAAATATAGTGTCAGAAACACTAAGGTAGTTGTCCCAGCAGATCTAAAGAAATATGAGACTACTTCAGTGATGTACGATTCTTTCTACTGAACACTTACACGCAGCGCTACATTTACTATCCTTCATATGCAGTAAACTTTGTTTAGAAATATTTTTAGATAGTTTATTTCTGGAAATGAATAAGTAAAAACAATTCTTTTCCTTGCAGATTTACACTCTACATAGTTTTCAACTTTAACCTTTAAATGAAATTGATAAAAAAATACTCAGATTTTACGTTAAAAATTATATCAAGTTCTTAAAATTTGCACTTTGAAAAATTTTATTTATTTAAATTATTGATCTTCAACATACTTCCCTAACTCTGTAAACTTTTAGTTTTGGCCACATTTTGTCCGAGTAAACATTTTGTAAAATTAACATTTTGTAAAATGTTTTTGGCCACATTTTGTAAAATTAGTTTTTATGTTAGGGGAATCCCTAACATAAGCTTTAATACAAATTTTAAAATATTTATTTAGTTTTATCAGGAGGAAAAAATTTAAAGAGACTCCATCTTGTAGTTTGGTTTAAAACTCTGTCTTAAGGGAACTAAGCTTAAAAAATATGTTATACCTCATATATCATTCTATGTAAATGTCATTGTAATTATCATTCATCAATAATCAAAACATAACATTTACAAATCAATAGACATATCCTATATTAATGAGATATGTAAATAAGATATCATTTTCCAGGAAAGATTGGTAAGGTTTACTATTTAAAAGAAAAAGCATGGCTATAAGACAATAAATCAAAAAAGTTTGGCAGAAGCGGTGTAAGTAAAAGTTTAATAAGTTACATTTCTTATATTAGTACGATTGTTCAATCGATAGTTTTTAAATTTAATTAATTTTCCCAAATTCAATTAAATATATTTGTCTTTTTGCAATATTAGGGAGTGTAACTATATGAATGGGACGAAAGTGTCTTGCAAGAACTTCTTT